GCGGGGGCCGGGGCGCGGGGGGAGCGCGGGCTTGGCGGGGCGCGGGGGGATGGGGAGGGCGGGGGCGTAGGCGGGGACGGCGAAGGCGGGGTAGGGCGCGGGGGCGGGGGCGGGCGGGAGGGGCGGGAGGGCGGCGAGGGCGGCGGCGCGCGTGGCGGGGTCGAGGATGGCGCGGAAGGGCGCGGAGGCGGGGGAGAGGGAGGAGCGGACGGTGAGGGATTCGCTGGAGGGGGGTCAGGTGGGGCGTGTGCAGAGGGCGGGAAGCGTACTCTGTGAGGGTGCCGCGCAGGCCGGAGAGGAAGACGACGGGCGCGTCGTTGCGCGAGGGTCCGTCGCAGAGGACGACGTGGTCGGCGACAACGTCGACGGTGATCGGGTCGTGGCTGGTGTTGGGCTCGAGCGGGAGGAGCAGCGTTGCCTGGGAGTCGTCCGCTGTTAATTAAGCACGGGTAGAATGCAGGCAGCACACCTTTCCATTCGTTAGCGCACTCCATACGTCGTTCCACTCTGCGTCCCCGTCCGTGATGCTCTCCAGCTTCTCCAGGATGGCCCAGCCCACGCTCGCGCCGTCCAAGCCGATATTCTGGGCGGCGGCCTTGAGATTCATGAGCTGCAGCTTCGTCGTCGCGCCGCCCTGCTGCGGCTGCTGCGGGGGGACGGGGTGCATCGTCGCGCCGGTCGTGGCGGACGTGGGCGCTACGCGCTGCCTCGGGGTGTACGGGACGTAGCGCGGGGCCGGGCTGCCCGGCTGACTGGGGAGGTCGAGGGACGAGCTGGACGGGGACTGCGCGTGCTTGGGCGAGCTGGGAGAAAGAAGCGGGTGCGCAGTCAGCGATTCCTGCGACGACACGCGCTGGATGTGCAGGCCCTGGCCCCGCCCGATCGACGCTGACGGGAACAGGCTGTCTCTGCTCGTCATGTTTGCCTGCGACGTGTCGAAAGGCGGCATGCGTGTATGCGTAGAGCCGGGGATCAAGCGAGTTTGATATACGCAAAGACCATGAATTGAAGCCGCCACACAACGACGTCCTCCAGACCGAGGCTTGCAAGAACGCGTCTGCTCAGCGCTAGCGAACGACTATGATTGCCATTTCGGGAGACTCTCTTCTCGCCACAATCTTTCACGCTCGGGAGATGATATTCGCTGAAATATCCGTCTTGTGGTACCCCAGACGCTCGAAAGCGACAGCGTCTTGGACTGCTTTCGACCGAGTCCGTTCTTCCGTTTCCATGAATCAACACACCATATGCCCAGGACAAAGCCCGCCGAATCGCTCTGTATATTCGCCGAGAATGATATGCAAGGGACTGTGAAACACCCGAGACTCATAACGCTCTGGCTCCCCCAAGAAAGCACGCAAGCACCATGGATGCATTCTACCTGCAATAGCCGTCGTAACCAAGACTGGGACGAGACTTGTCGCATCTCCCAGACACTTTGATCGCGGCTGACAACAAGCCTTTGTCCTCCTCCTCACGTGCGGTCACCCGCCCGCCAGGTGGCCCACCAATGGATATAATATAAACCAGTCCTCGCAGTCCCTCCGTGTCCATCACATTCCCCGAATACCTCGATCTCTCTAAAAGCCCCAGATGCGTCTCCCCCTCGGCTCCCTGCTCGCGCTCCCCCTGCTCGCCTCAGCCTCCCCCACACCCGAGTCCGGCACTCGCATCGCCCTCCAGAAGCGCGCGCGCATCATGAACGCAGACGGCACCGTCAACGCCGACGCGCTGCGCAAGCAGCTCGCGTACGCCACCGCGTGCGTCCCGCCCCGTCCTCCCTCCCACCCTAACCCCCGCGACTGAAGCAGCCGTCTCCCTGCGCGTGCAGGAAGACCCGCAGAGGATTCGTCGCGTACGAGAAGAACACGGGCGCGAAGCACCCCCTGGACAGCGCCAAGGGCACGACGGCGAGGCGGGACACCGGCTCTGTCCCGCTGGCTGACTACTCGCGAGGTCTGTACTACCCCCCTACCCACACCTCTCCGCCCTAACCCCAAACACCGCTCACGCAGAGCTCTGGTACGGCCAAATCGCCGTCGGCACCCCTCCCCAGACCTACACCGGTGCGCCCCCCCTCTCTCCCTCTCCCGCCCCTGACCCCGCTGACGGAATCCAGTGGACTTTGACACGGGCAGCAGCGACCTCTTCCTCCCGGGCCCGAACTGCAGCGCCAACTGCGCGGGGCACAAAGTCTACGACCCCGCGCGCAGCACCACCGCCGCCGACGCGCACAGGGGCTTCTCGCTCATGTACGGCGACGGCTCGTCCGTCACGGGCGAGCAGTACAGCGACACCGTCTCCGTCGCCGGGCTCACCGTACGTCCCCCTCCCCCCTCTCCTCCCCTCCCCTCCCCACCCCCGCCCTGACGCGCCCGCAGGCGACGAACCAGCGCCTCGGCGCCGCAAAGACCTACTCCGCCGGCTTCAGCACGGACGCGTTCCCCGCGGACGGCCTGCTCGGCCTGGCGTACGCGCACATCTCGAGCTACGCCGCGCCGCCCGTCTTCGCGTCGCTCGTCGCGCAGCGCGCGGCCGCGCAGCCGCGCTTCGCGTTCAAGCTCGCAGCGGACGGCGCGGAGCTCTTCCTCGGCGGCGCCGACGCGCGGCTGTACACCGGGGCCGTTGCGTACGCGCCCGTCACGCACCAGGTGCGTCCGCGTTCGCGTTCCTGTGCGCTGGTGGTGTGTGATGTGCTGTGCGCGACAGGGGTACTGGCAGGTGGACGTGCAGAGCGCGGCGGTGAACGGCACGCGCGCGGTCGGCCGCCTCGACGCGATCGTCGACACGGGCACGACGCTCGTCGTCGGCGACGAGGTCGCCGTGCGCGCGCTCTACGCCAAGATCCCCGGCGCGCGCGACGCCACGCTCTCCGTCGGCATGGGCTTCTTCACTGGTGCGTATTCCTCGCTTTGGTTTGCACGCGCGAGCTGAATGCCCCCCCCCCGGGCCAGTGCCCTGCGATGCGATCCCGACCGTCGGCCTCACGTTCGCGGGCACGACCTTCGATATCTCCCCCGCGGCGTTCAACCTCGGCCGCGTATCCCCAGGCGCGCCCGACTGCGTCGGCGGCATCGTGGCTGCGAACCAGCGTACGTCGCTTCCGATCTTCCCTCTCCATCCGTCCACGCTCAGCTGCGAGTTTCAGAGTTCTGGATCGTCGGCGACGTCTTCCTGCAGAACGTGTACACCGTGTTCGACATGGGAAGCAACAGGGTCGGCTTTGCGCACCTCTCATAGCTACGCAGACCCCGTTTCGCCCCCATGTACGCGTCGCGTCGAACCGATTGAATTCTCATCCCATCTTGATAGACGTATCGTCATGCCAACGAGCTCTCATCGGTGACTTCTCAGAGGACAAGCGGTATAGGGTGATCTAACAGACGACTCGTTTCATTTTACAGGGTATGTTCTATCTCTAACAATTCGGACCTCCACGTCTAGATGGATATGGCTACATTGGCCCTGATGCTCAGCACATACAACAGGGGAAAGGACGAAATAAAGACTGAAATGCAATCTAGTTAAACGAAAGCTCGCCGGCGAAAGAATGTAAGTTACGACAATAAAGCGTAGGTTAGGTTAAACGAAAGATGTCAGCAAAGCGGCACAGCAGCATATACAAATGGGCGAACGAAAGAAAGAATTAAACTATAGCGATGAAAGCGATCCTCTATGTTGCACGATAGCGATGATCTATTGGTTTGACGGCAGTCGAAGTTGGCGTTGGCTTGACCTCCGGGACACATTGCGCGACTCGCCCTTCATATCCTTCATCCCTCTCCGCACTCTTGACATCATGTCTTCTGTCTTCTGCAGCATCTCTTCCAGACGCCTCTTCTCCCCTTCCAGCTCGTCGTGATGCTTCTCGAGGTCGTAGTAGCTGGGCAGGCGACGGGAACGGGGATGCATCGACGGCTTGAAGAACCTGGCCAGGCGGAAGTAATCGATGGGCTTCGCGGGCCACCCAGCGTAGACGCAGTCCTTCTCGGCGATCTCTCCCGAGGTCAGGAGGGTGTGTTCCAGCAGCATCGAATTCTCCTCCATGGATGCTCCAGACAGGAGACGAGACCCGGAGCGCATGGCGGATCTTGACACAAGGTTAGTCAATCTAAATACCGGCAGTATTCTGAAGTAACTCACGAATCCGCGATCTTCAATTTGTTGAGCGAAAAGTTCCCTCGAGAATTGATGTGGGCCACGACCGAGCAGTCGTCCAGACAGACGCGGTCACCGATCTCCAGGAGGTCAGGTTCGGTCATCAACCCGACCCTCCCGCCAGCGAACAGAGCGACATCCTTGCCGATCTTGGCGCCTAGGGCCCGGTAGAACCACACAATGTAGGCCGAGCCGGTAATATTTCCGAGAACACCACCGTTACCGTAGCTCCTGTGCAAGATACGAGACAGCACGAGGTGGAGTTGCCAGCGCTGGCAGTAGTTGCTCTTGTCCCAGTCATACTGGCCCTCTTGCCGCCGGCCAATGACGATCCACTTGGTCAAGATCACCCAGCTCAAGGCGATCCAGGCCTGGATATTGAGCGCGGCGACGAAGAAGACAGAGATCATACCAAAGAGCACAAAGAACCGATACCACGTCTCAGCGAAGAGATGAACGTGGTGGAGGTGGATTCGCAGCTGATTGAGCGCCTGCGTGACAGCAATAGCACCCATAGACCAGAACCCAGCGCAGACGCCCGCGGTAAGCAGGTTGATCGCAAGGAGCATCGGGTACGGGAAGACGAAGAACGGCGCTTCACGCCTGTAGAACGCCCTCCCAAAGGGTGTGATGGTGTCACCGCTGACATCCTTACCACCCCGGCCGAAGCATACCGCCTCACCGTGGTCGCATCCCATCCACACCGACCCATCCTCGTAGACGCCGTTACGCTTACCCAGCGCGCCCGACCCCATAACCGTGCGCCTCCCAACGGTCGTGCCAGGAAGCAACACAACGCGGTCTGCAATCATGGCGCCGCTCTTGATAACAATCCTCTCAGCCCCAATGCAGTCCGACGTGAACAGCTCAGAACGCGAGCCAAACACGACATCGTCGCCGACCTCGAGCAGCTCCGGATCGGGACAGTACACACCGGAGCCAGGCCAGTACACGCGCTTGCCGATCTTGGCTCCCATCGCGCGGAAAACCCGCGACGTCATCTCATAATGGGTACCCAGGATATCAAACGCACGGCTGAGGTCACGCTGTGAGAGCAGGGAGTGATTAATCTGTCGACGAACAAGTGTCCACTGGGACGCCTGCTCCATCAGGCCCTCCTTGTTCAAGCCCATAGCGCGCTTGACCGCAATACCGAGGACAAGCTGGATCAGCGGCGGGAACACAACACGGATGACCCTCGCAAGTGCATGCCACATAATCCGCTGCGGGCTCGCGAACCACTTGATGACCAGCTCGAGCGTATTCAGGTTCTCCTTGTCGATGGGCTGCGACAGCAGCGCGAACAGCGCCGCGAACCACGGGAGGTAGCTCGCGAACTTGACGAGGAACACGACCGGGTGGCACACGAGCCACTGCAGCGCCGCGTGCGGCTTGCGCGCCATCGTGCGGTTGCAGCTCGCGTTCTTATCCGACGCGGCCTCCTCGTGCGAGGACGCGTGCGGGCCGTAGACCGCGCCCGCGGGGATCGACGCGCCCGGCGAGATCTGCGTGTACGTGTTCACGACCGCGCCCTCGCCGATCACGATGCGGTCGAGCTTGAAGAACCCGTCGCGCTCGACGCAGAAGCCGCGCACGAGCGCCTTGTCGATGCGGCACCCGTCGTGCAGCGTGAGCAGGTCGACCTCGTGCAGCCGCGCCATCTTGTCGAGCTTGACGTCGCGCCCGATCTTCGCGCCGAGCAGCCGGTAGTACAGGAGCTCGAGCGCGGGGTGCATCGAGAACACACCGCGGCCGGCGACGCGCAGGCTTTGGTTGACGATCCACCAGCGCAGGTGGTACGAGCCCCACATCGGGTACGTACCTGGCCTGTACCGGCCAATGACGGCCCACTTGAACAGGATCGCCGCGACGGGGGAGATAATACGCGCCGACAAGCGCGCGGTGACAATCGCACCGAGCAGGCACCCGATCTTCATCCAGTAGCCCGCGTCGATGAAGTTGCCGAACACGGAGAGCATGAACACGATCACGGTCCACGTCCACGCGGCCTTGAGCGGGTAGAAGAACATCAGCGGGAGCGCCTGCACGAAGAGCGAGACGGGGTGCGTCTGCCCGCGGCTGCCGCGCTCCCTCGCGCCATACCCCAAACTCTCCAAATCGATACTGCTACTCTCACTCAAATCATACCTGCCCTTCTCCACGACGCTCGCCCTGCTCGAATTGAGCGCCGTCTTGCTCATATGCGCCTCCTGCTCCTCGACGAGCGCCGCGATGCCGCGCACGCTACTGTTCGTGAAGATCGCGGGCACCTGCAGCGCGGCGCCCGTCTCCTTGCGGAGGTGGTGCGCGAGCCGGCCGAGCAGCAGCGAGTTCCCGCCGAGCAGGAAGAAGTCCGAGTCGAGCGTGACCGCGCCGGGGTCGAGGTCGAGCAGGCGCGCGATGACGTCGCGCACGACGAGCGCGGTGGGCGACAGCTGCGACGCGGCGCGCGCCTGGATCTCGGCCTCGATGCGCGCAAAGTCGACCGCGCCGTCGGCGGTCTTGGCGAGCGGCTCCGTGAGGACGTGCAGGGGGCTGGGGATGCAGTACCCGTCGAGCTTGTCTGTGAGGCCGTCGAGGACGCTGGCACTGTCCAGGCCCGAGTCCAGGTCGACTGACACGAGCGCCTCGGGCGAGCCGTCTTTCTTCAACCTGACAGCGACTTCCTGGACGCCAAGCATGCTGTGCATCGCCTGTTCGACGCGCGACAGGTCGAGCGACACGCGCTTGCACGGAATGGGCTCCGACAGCGGCGTGTTCTTGTCCGGGGCGGTGGCTTCGAAATGGCGCGCGAGAGCAGGCGTGTCGTCGGTCAGGCACCCAAGACCCAGGCGCTGCGCGAGCTTGATACGCAGCGGCTTGCCCGCATTGTTCTTGGGCAGGTCGTCCATGTAGACCACCGCGAACGGCCACTTTGACGGGTGCAGGTTCGCCTTGAGCAGGTCGTGCAGGTCCGCGAGGCTGATCCGCGGGCGGCCGGGCACGGGGACGACGACGACGGCGATCGTCTCCTGCAGGACATCATGCTCGGCCGAGAACGCGAGCGTCGCCTTGACCCTGTCCTTGGCGGCGGACACGACGGCCTCCTCGATCTCGAACGGCGAGACGACCTCGCCGCCCTTGTTGATGATCTCCTTCGAGCGGCCGGTGATGTACAGGTAGCCGTCCGCGTCCATGCAGCCCATGTCGCCCGAGTCGAACCAGCCCTCGCGGGTGAACGCGGAGGTGTCGAGGGGCGCGCCGGGCGCGAGCTCGTACCCGTCGAACGTCGGCAGCCCGCGCACGCAGACGGCGCCGGTGGCGCCTGTGGGCAGCTCGCGCTCGAGGTCCGCGGGGTCGCGGATGGAGAGGTAGGGCCCGCAGGCGACGCCGGAGCAGCCGGGCCGGTCGAGCTGGTAGGTGGTGGGCGGGGACGCGATGGGCATGCACTCGGTCATGCCGTACGAGGGGAGGATGACGGCGCCGAATGTGCGCCGGAGCTCGGCGGCGAGGGTGGGGAGGAGCCCGCCGGCGGCGTTTGCGATCATGCGCATGCGCGTGTCGCGCGACGGGACGAGGGAATCCGGTCTGGACGCGAGGATGGCGTGGTGCATGGTCGGCGCTGCGTAGTACCTGAATGAACGAAATCAATATTGCCAGCGGGCGGGAAGGCACAGGCAACTGACCAAGTGGCGCCGCGCTCGACGACGATGGGCCAGAACGCGGACGCGTCAAAGCCGGCGCACATGATCGCGCTGCCGCCAGAGAACATGGGCGCCCACAGGTTCCGGACAATGCCGCCGACGTGAAATAGCGGCATCATGTTCACTGGAATGACGGATCAGCGCCACCGCCGATCATTTGAATGCGGAGCACTCACTGTTCACGTCGCCCGGCTGCAGATCCCAAGACTTGATCACCGCGCACGTCCCGACGATCAGCGAGCGCAGGCTGTATGGCACCACCTGTCACCGCGTCAGCGCGGTCCGCGCGGGAAAGGCAATCGGGAGTCTATTTACCTTTTTCTTCCCGCTGGTGCCAGACGTGTGCAGGACGAGCGACTGATCGTCGAGCGCGTGCAGCCGCGACGGGCGCCGCTCCCGCCGATCGACAACGTCCCACGTCCGGTCGTCGTCGCTCTCGTCCATGACGGTCATGTCGAACAGCCCCGCGGGCCCCGCGGGGCGCGCGTGCACGAAGACGACCTCGCAGCGCAGCGCGGCGCGGAGCTTGCGCAGCTCGAGGCGCTCGGCGACGTCGGGCGTGGCGACGACGGCTTTGGCCCCGAGGCGGCGGGCGTCCTCGCAGAGCTCGGCGGCGGTGCAGCTCGCGTTGACGGGCGCGCAGGTGTGGTAGGCGGCGAGGGCGAGCAGGGCGAGGGCGTTCTCGGGCCCGGTGGGGAGGACGACCATGACGCGGTCGTTCGGGCCGAGGCTGGGGTGCAGCCCCGAGGTGGGGAGGGCGAAGGAGGAGATGAATTCGTGGAGGGCGCGGTGGGGGAGCGCGGGGCGGGCGGCGTCGGGGGACCAGAGGGCGGGGCTGTCGGTGGTGCAGAGACAGTCGAGGAGGGTGCGGCAGCGGCCGGAGTCGGTGACCTGCTCCGCGAGCTGGTCGCCCAGGGACGTGCCCGGCGGCGGGGCGGGGAGCGTGCTGAGGAACGCCAAAGGAGTGGACATGGCGAGGATCCGGAGCACTGAAAGAAAAGAAAGGGGACGGGTGGACGGCCTATCAGGCTGCTGGGCCTGGCTATATGCGGTTCTTAAGACGTGAAGCCTGCTCCATGCCCACCGAGTCGGTGCAGCGTACGAAAATAGGCTCGCATGCACGCTCTTCCAAGCGATCAGTCCGCAAGGGAGACCCGAGGGTCCTTCACTCCGCGCTCCATCATCTAGGGCGCCCCTCTTTGTCTTCTTCCACCGCGGGAGATCCCCCGCCAGATCCATGGCGGTGCCCCTGCCCGGGATTGGGCGTCGTGCCCGGGCGATAGCGGAGGGACGCATATGTCGGACGCGCGTTATCAGCTTCTGTGCTGCTTCGCTACCTGCATTCTGTCAAGCAGGCCGGGTTGCGTGCTCGGGGAGGGCTGCTCGTCCAATCGCAGCTCCCGCCCGCCGCACTTGCGCGAGATCTTCAGCTGCACCATCATTCATCAAGGAGCTTGCACCGACGTCGCTATCGGCCGCCCGGACCACCCAGCGTGCTCGCCATCCAAGCAATCGGGATCCCCCACGCATCCGCGACGTGTCCTGCGCGCGCCAGCACGGAGGCGCACGCGAGCAACGTCCAGCCACCGCCCGGCGAGAATGCTCGAGAGAGGAAGCGCATTTCCGAATGCGGACGCGATCGCAGGTGCGCTTCGCGAAGCGCTTGGCACGCGCCTTCCTTGGCGACACCGCACCGCCACTGACATGCCCGATCTACTTCCACGCCGCTTGGCACACGGTAATCACCTATCTTGCTCGGTCCCCCGGTCTTCTACACACGGCCCTGGAGCTCCCTTTGTCTCGCGCATGTGCTTGGGCTTTGTTATCAGCACGCAATGAATCACTACGAGCCGAGGATGGAGGGGGAATTAAGACGTCGAACGCAGCTGGCTGGCAGTCGACATTAATCGAATCGACCCCGGGCGTTACAGTTTACCGACAACGTTTCATTATTGATCCTGTCGACATCGCGTCTTCCTATATCTAAGCGAGCGCGACCGGTGGCGACAGTGCGCGCAGGCGTTTGTGCGGCGACGACGAGGGTAAGCCCTGCTCCACTGCTATTTTCTCGTCTGCTCGGTGTCCTCGGGCCCAGCAGGCGTTCCGTATCAATGTCTTTTCAACGCACGCAGAAAGCAGAGACAGGGACGGGCTGACACGTTCGTGCGAGGTGGCGCCTAAATCCGCCCGCGCGCCTTCTCGCAGTGTCGTGTCGTAGCCTCATGTGCTGCTGCTTCCGGCTCACACGTCCTGCTTCGCGCGCGGAATGAATCAGCGCCTAGCATAACCCGTCGATTAACCTCTGCGTGAGTGCTTGCGTTTGTAAGGAGACCCTGCCCAGCCTGACCTCGAATGACAGAGGTATGTATATTCAGATATTGTGCGAATAATGGTGAGTGTGGGTGAATATATAATATATATCGCATCACATCATGATCATGTACTGGTCCATATCGATATCGCGTCGCGTGCAGGCAGATCCGCGGTGGCATTGTATCGAGAACATACGGTATAGTAGTACAGGACCCCTGAAAATACCGCTAGATGCCGGTGCCAGTCCGGACAAAAATCGCGGTCTCGAGCCCTCCATGCCAGACGCCATCCGGACAAGGATGGACGACCGAACCGGCCATCCCGATTTTACAGTCCGGACACCGGTCATGACCGAGCTACCATGCCGGTTACAGTCCGGACACGGCTGTGTGGCAAGTTGGCAACGGACTGGCCCAATGTATTTACCCTTTGTAGTACATGTATTTTAACCCAATTATGGCTGAGGTTTGTCCCAACCTGTCATTGTGTCCCGTCGCGTAGCCTCGTGTAGCCCTTATTTGCACTGTGATATATAGTTTCTAGTATGTAGCACAACGGGCTCCGATGTCCAGTGGCTGAATGTGGCTGAGATCAGTACGCTGTATCGTCAAAGTTTCCCTACACCATCACCACTTTACATGACTCTGGAAGCATGGACGACGCCCACAATACTTAACGTGTGCACTTTGAGCTCATTCATATGGGGTACAGCAGTCTCAGCGGGATTCACATTAGGGCGTGGCAGACATTGACCTCACGGAAGAGGTGGACATCTCATTCAATCCCAAGGATTGGATTGGGATAAAGGCAAAATGAATGCCGCACTCCAGGATCTGGACTCGGATGGGGAGGAGGATGGTTGATGGGAGTGGGCGGCCTTCGTGAATTCTGTCGCTTCATTGACTGCATTCGAGTCCTAGTACGATTACTGATACATTGTACAGTGTTCTAATGAATTGATAGGCGAGAAAACCTTTTTTTCTGTTTTTTCAGACGCCGGTGCATTAGTCCGGACAAAAATCGGCCCCTTCGGGAGGCCGGTATTTTATCCGGACAAAAATGCGGGGGGGAGCCTCAGACAATCCAGACATGGAAATTTTGAGTCTCGCACCGGCATTTATCGGTATTTTCAGGGGTCCTAGTAGTACATATTGCGTGCCCCCGTAACCGCATGCACATCCCGCCTTCGCACCCCGTCTTCGGTCTTCCACCATCGATAATACAACACACATCTCCGCCCGTCGAATGACGAACATCCCATCATCCTCGATCACCGTGAGAGATGACGTCCCTGCAGATCCTCGCGACGACGAGATACAGTACATAAATCCAATTCCGACAGACAATCACAATCAACTTGGACAACGCATAGGCAAGATCACTGATCTGCCCGACTGCTCCTCAGATAAGCTTGGCCTCCAGCTTTACCACGCACAATGAAGCCTGTGCTATTTAGTACAGAGATGGTTTGCATACGATATGTGCGCAGATGAGGGGAGGCAGTCCCACCCGCCGGGGAGACGTCCGCCAGAGAAGACGCGTACTGACCAGCACGAGTTGGTGCCAACGTCCAGTGGACGGACAGAAGGCATGATGGGCAGGACGTGCGAACCGCGAACTTGAAGGCTGTCTTCCAGGATGAGACAGCAGTCGAGCAGTTTCCAGGCGGCAGCATGGGTCAAACATATCCCACACTTGCTGCCTTTGGTTAGCCCGCCGGCCAATAGCAGTAGGCGCAAGTACACCACTGGGCGGTTCCCCAACACCGATGCTAGATGGGCATTGCTATGACTATCTCCGGCGATTCTTGTCAATGGAACGCGTCTGATAACGATATATACATGTACTTCCTTGTACTTCCCAACAGCGCCAGAAGACTGGCGGCTGGAGAAGAACTGGAGAGGACTGTTTGTGTTTTGCCAGCGTGGATGGTTGGGGACCGTGCGGGTACAAGCCACGCCGAAGTGGCGGGCACAAGGCAGAGACTGGACAGGAAGGTATGTAAGCGCCAACGGGTGATTGCGGAGTTATCAAGTTGCGAGCCAATAATGGAGCATGCAGGAAGGACTTGTAGGCAGCATCGAGACGACCAGTCAACGCTGCAAGTCGAGCGACCGACCAATGGCGGACGGGTTCGGCGTTCCGATTCGATTGGCTCCCTGGTGATCGAAGGGAGAGCGAGGAGTAATCTATCGGCGCATGGAGGACTGACAACGCAGAGGATGTAGAGCACTTTACCGCGTTTCGTCCGAGGCCTTGCCAAACCGCCGGGACAAGAGGCGTCGGGAACCCAAGTGCACGGAGCCATCACGTCCAAAATGCCAACAATAAAGCGCAGGGAAAGTTTTGAGCCGTACTCGCCTTCGTCTTCGTCGGATTGTATGTAGTCTGTACCGCTGCAATCGCACGTTCCATGGCTGACTGCGTTCTGTCGGTTGTTGGACATCAAGGGTTTAGTGTAGCACCATCAATGCAAGCCTGCGTATCTGCTTCTGCAAAGTTTGAGCATAATAACAACGTGCTCTTCATCCTTCCGGAAGGTTTACGAGCGTGGACCTGAATGACTCTACATCGCTCGCATGGGAGTGGCCAGCGCCGGGGCGACCATACGTAACCTGGACGCCTCAAAAATGATGCTTCAATGAACTCGAACCAACAGCAAGCCGACATGATCAAATCCCACCTACCACGATCCACGTCGGGGCAAATAGGAGCATGTACTAGGAACCGAACAGCAGCGTCCGTGCGTTCCGCAGCTCAAACTCCGCGAAGCTGCGACGTACGACATGATATTTGTGAATCTGACGCGTGCCAGCGGGGAGGGTTACGCCGGATGGATCTCGGTTCGACTCTGCAATGGCGTACGCAACATTGTGCCAGACTTCAAACCGAAACAATGTCCAGGCTGATAATTGATGATATGGCGCGCCAAGATTTCGATTGCACGGAGGTGGAGCGGGGGCGTGTCGGACATTCACCGCACCCAGTATCTGGGATCTGTCAGTGTCAACACGGATACGCAAGTCAACTGCGTCCGTGCTCCAGGAGCAGAGGTATTCCCTCCGCTCGGAACGCAATGCATTACGGACGACGTCAGGAAGAGCTGGCACTGACGGATCTTCCTGGCAAGATGGAAGGAGTTCACACTCACCGGGGGTATTTGAGAACCGGGGTATGAGAGGGCGGTGGTTGTCCTGGGCTTTTTGCTTCCATAGTATTTAGCTCGTAAGAAGAGGGGGGTTGACAGATAGACTATGTGGTGGGGATGTTAGCCGGCAAGCAGGACGTACAGAAAATGCACTATAGGCGGCCGAGGGTCCTGATGGTGTAAGATGAACTACTAGACAAGCGCCCATGTACTTGGATTAAGTATTAAAGAGTTTCGACCCTGGGGGAGCTCCAGGAAAGAGGAGATTCAAGGATGGCATACAGACGGAAAATAGCCTCAACAACAGTGCTACACCTGGGGGGAGGATCCGACCATGCTCGCCCAGAATTCCTTCACGACCAGCGGTTGTACGCTATCGCCCTATCGCAAGATTTTTGCCGTCAGAAGAGAAGCAAAATGCGGATTTAAAGCGCATAAGTAGCATAGTTCGAAGAAGAGGACAATGTCTGGGCAAGGAATGTTAAGCATACTCATCTAAGAGCGTCGGCGATCGGGCGAGCATAGCCTACGGTAGCAGAGGAACTCAGGAAGTCCAGTCGCGATAAGGAGCCGCATAGTACTGTCCTGGCAAGCGTGCTTCCCGGAGAACTAGTCGTGAAACACGTCTTGAACGCGAGTCCTTCAGGCTGGGCTATTATCAACTTAATAACAGTTAACCTGAGTTGGTCGGATCGCAAGCAGTAAGACCAGCAGACGGGAAGGCATTCCATTACTCTCAGACAAGCTGAAGAACACAATTCGGACGGTCGCAGGCAAGCGCCCGGCTGTGATTGGTCGGCCAAGTCAGTGCCGGATCCAGTCACTGTGACACCCATCTGTAACGTCACTCCCCCACCGACACCTCAAGCACAAGACTCAAGGCTCTCAACGACCCGGGGACGCATTCAAGACCGACAAAAATGGGCTCAACAAGGTGAGTATCGTTCATACAGGGCACACGAAGTGCTTGTGGGTCGAAATTGCGGCGGTTGGGGGCAGACAAGTCGGTGGATGCATCAGGATGGGAGCGGATGACGGGCTGGTGGCGACGGACTCGGACTTGGACGTCTTTCGTGCAATGAACTAACGGTTGCATGCAGATTATACAGCAAGGGCCGTGTCCTCGGACACAAGCGCGGCAAGCGCAACACCCACCCCAACACCACCCTCCTCCAGATCGAGGGCGTCGGCTCGAAGGAGGATGCGCAATTCTACCTCGGCAAGGTAAGCCCAATCTCTCGTTAATTTGTTGGTCTACAGGGTCACTGAATGGTCTTTGCTTGGATAGCGCGTTGCGTATGTGTACCGGGCGAAGACTGAGCGTCAGGGTTCCAAGGTCCGGGTGATCTGGGGGTGCGTTAAATGTCTCTCCTGCTGGTTTCACAGAATCCGTGCTTACCCTGTGTGGACAGCCGTGTAACACGCTCTCACGGCAACTCTGGCGTGGTCAAGGCAAAATTCAGACACAACATGCCCCCACACGCTTTCGGTGCCAGCGTCCGCGTCGTATGTCCATTCCCTCCTTACCCTTAACAGTTGAGACTGAAGAGGCAGCAGATGCTCTACCCCTCGAACATCTGATTGTGTATGATATCGCCCCTACATCCCTGGCATCGTCTCTACCTCTCTCTCCGACCCTACTACGTCGTTACTGCAAATATGTCATGGCCTATTGCTGTATGCCCATTAGATTCGCAGAACTTCCGGGTGCCGTGAGGAATTCAGGAGTTGTCATCAGGCTGAGTTCACGTCTTTCCGTCCGGACCGCTCACAACGATATCCGACTCATAAGAATAATGCGTTCGAAAGCAACACAACACAACGACATTATATTATACAGTAATATACATCCTACCTCTATCACCCGAAGGAACTTGTCCGACCTGGTGAATCTTTCGAACTCGATTGCCGCAAAGACTCCTTTTTCACCTCGCTCGCCCACTTGAAGAAATTACACCGATACTGGTGATCCACCTCATCCCTCGGGCGCGCGCCCTTCCCCTTATCATACCCCGGGCCTACCGGGCTGCATTGTCCCAGTCAGCAATAAGCATAGCACAGTGACACCCCGAGGCGAGGCAGACACTCACCGCGAACAAATGTAAAACGTCTTGCCCTTGTTGGGCCCGGGCTTGTTCACGGTGAACAGCTTGGCGGGCTCGCGGTGGATAGTGCATTTCGGCGGGGCGACGGGCGCGAAGAGCTGCGACCAAGCTTCCTTGCCTTTGCCTTTGCCTTTGTCTTGCCCCGCCTCTGCGGACTGTTCGACCAGGTCTTGCTGTGACGCGGAGAGCTCGCACGCGAGGAGGTAATCAGCGTGCAATTGGTGTTCCGTCCCTCCTCCCTCGGGGTCGTCGTTGTCGTCGTCTACGACCACTACCTCTAACGATGACGCCGACTTGGCGGGGGGCTTGGTGAAGAAGCTGGAGAGCTTGGCCTGACCGGGTTTGCGCTTCTTGGATTGGGAAGTGCTGTTGCTCGAGGAGGTTTCTGCCGATTGGGGACCAGAGGATTTTCTCTTGAGCGGTCTCGACGGATGGGAGGTGGACGGAGACGGTGATGGCTTGATGCTCGATTTGCTGCTCGAGGCAGTGGGTGGTGGTGGCAGCGGCTGGGTGGACCGCGATGGTCCAATAATGGTCGAAGGCGATGATGCCTTCAGTTGAGGCGGAGAGGGTGACTTGGATATTGTGTCGGTTCCCCCTTTGGAGAAGAAGGAGGAGAGCAGTTTCTGTTTCCCAGAGTACTCGGGCCAGAACTTGGACGCCAGGCGCGGGGGCTCCGTCCTCGTCCCGAACTGCATGGCGTCTCGCAATTTCACCACCTCGCCTGACTCGAGCGTGATCTCGTCGTGGAGGTCCACGTAGATGGGGCAGTGGTCAGACCCCTTGACGGACGGGAGCGTGTTGCCGCCCTTGAGCCACTTTGTGAGTCCGGGCGTGGTGAGGATGTAGTCGACGCGGGTACCGTAGTTCGTCTCGCGCGCGCAGAGCTTCATGTTCCAAACTATGACATTTCAGCCGACCGTAGACATTGGCAGCAAGCCCCACATACGTACCGGTATACATCCCATCCCGCTCCGGCCAGAACTCCCGCACCGCATCCACCATCGGCCCATTCGGCGCCAGCCAGTCCCTGAACCACCGCCTTGCCGGGTGGTCGTAGAACACACTCGCATGGCTCGGCAGGTGCCCGTCACAGTGGTCCAGCGGCGCCGCGCAGATATTCATATCGCCCACGACCACGACCTCGCGCCGCTCCCCGATCAGCTGCGCGACGCGCGCCTGCAGCATGCGGTGGAAGTCCATCTTGAACGGGAGGCGCGCGTCGCTCGTCTCGTTCGGGCAGTACACGTTCACGAGGACGAACAGGCCAACGTCGAGCGCGAGCGCGCGGCCCTCGGCGTCCAGCGCGCCCGGGTCCGTGGGCGTGCGGTCGGGCGCGTCGGTGAAGAGAGCGAGCTCGTGCGCTTGCGGGTAGGCGGCGGAGATGCGCTCGGCGGGGGCGAGGGGCGGTTTGAGCGCGGGCTGGATGCGGCCCGAGAGGCCCTCTTCGGCTTTGAGCGGGACGACGGTGCGCGAGTCGGTGTAGACGGCGACGCCGCTGTAGCCGCCTTTGTTCGCGGGGAAGGAGAAGAACGCGTCGAAGCGGCCGGGGAGGGCGGCAGACGGCTGGAGGGAGGCGCGAGATGTCTTCATTTCTGTGTTCAAGCTTGGCTAGCGAATCAGCAGAGCGGTGCAGGGTGGACGCACCCTGGAAGCATATGATGTCCGCTTTGAGCTCGTCCAGAATCCCCTCGAACGTCTTGAACGTGTTCCATCTACACCAGTCTCATCAGACATACTCTAGCCGTAGTCCCGTGCAGTTATGACCTACGGGTGATACTGAGGGAGAGTTCTGACCCCATTCTACGAAACTCGCGTCAGTTTACCCAGCAACGCAGTATTGCAACCTCCTCACAATGTTCCAAGATAGTATCCGCATCTTCGACTATTTCCCCCTTCAGAGGCATACTACTGCGCAAGCTTCTGGCCGTTTGACGAGTCCCTGTAAGGTAAGCGCGGCATCCAAGGCGGACAACGGCAGCTTCGCGGAGGGTCGCGCGACAGCCAAACGATCGCGATCGGGCGGACCGCAGTCTCCCACGCCTCCTTCAACACTGAATTCACCAGCTTGCACGACAAGTGCAGACGGCTCGCGCCCCTGTTAGTTATGCTTGCCAGTGTGCGGGGATTTAGCGAGTCGTTCACTAGCTGGAAACCACTGTTCTCTGCTGGACACCTCTTCAAGTTCGTTGGGCACGACATCCGCGGCCTCACACCGCACAGAACCCATCTGGCTCGCGGGCTCGACCACTCAGCAGACACTCGTGGCATTCTGGATCTGTGGCATGTCACAGTGGCATATATGTATGTTGGACAAATTTCGCGACTTTGGCAGCCACTATCTACGCCATAAGTCACCGAACGGACTCGCACAAAACGAATCCCGCCTTCTACCTCTTGCCCCAGTCCCCACCCCGCCTGGAGCTCCGCATTTGGGTTCTCTCCGTGCCGGTAAGCTTTCGACAGCCTCTGCGTTGATGTCGACCGCTTTATCGTTCGATGGTTGCTCGTCTGGAATGCAATCAGCAGACTGTGTCAACGACTTCTCATCTGGCGTGGAACCGTCTGAGACGTATGGCGACGCTAGCGACCAGCAATGAACTCTTTTGTGACTTCATCGGATGCTCACGTCCTCGGGGGAGCATGGACCCCGGGGCCAGGGGACGGGGAACAACTCTCTGCAAAGATCTCCGCACTTTTGCATGATAGGAGGTATGCAAGCGAGGTGTTCGTCCTTCTGGAGCACGCGAAGGACTCAGTGCTGCCACCCGTGACGCGCGATCCCGGGGGTTACAGCCCCAGTTTCGGCGCTCTCTGTCTGCACCTACGAGTCGCTAAAACTTAGGAATCGCTCAGCCTGGACGCATGAGGTGCAACGCAATTGATTAGCTAGCAAGCAGGGAAGTCCCTAGAGTTTGTTAGATCGCATACGGTGCATACTATCCGATGTTGATAGTAGGTATATGCTGCACACGCCCATGAACCTTTACTCGAGCCTGCGTTTGGACGCCCAAGTTGTCCCCGCTCGCAAGGGTAGATACAACCTGCACTGGTGGTAGAAAATGTTCCAAAGGTCATGCTTGGTTTTGAGTGAAGTAGGAAGTTGACCGGGTGATCATGACCAGGACACTTGGAGATTTACTGAGACTTGCGTTACCGTAGTCATTGGCAGTGACACTGCTGTCCACTGTCGGGGAGCCAATCTGCTTCCAACCGGGACGACCCGATGCAGAGATGATTTCTGCGGTCACAGACGTTGTTCATGAAGTCAGCCAGGCACGACCTGCAGCCAAGGATGGGAGGGAAATCAGATGAAGAGATAAGATGACGCGACTATCAGATAACTGCGGGCAGCCCGATCGCCAATCAAAATTTTATCAGATAATTCTAGGCCTGCACTCGGAGACGGCACTCCCACCTGCTCGGGCGCTTCGAAGCAAAGGTGGCGTACGACGCCTCAGCGACTGACTAGAATATATATTGACAGCTTGCGCTGCGTAGCTGTCAGCGACCTGGCGGGAGCCGACAGCCACAGCGGGCGAGCAGAACCTGAGGCACGCCAGACAGCCGACCCATCATCAGCCCACCTACGAGGTACGTACCGGCTCCTTGGCGGCACCCATCCGCACTATATAACACACTCGATTAATTTTAGCCCTCAGACGCTTCTCCCGCCTCTCCCGCTCGCAATGGCCATCCCGATCCTCTCCAAGAAGGACTCAGCCAACGACTCCGCGTCGTCCGCGGGCTCGTTCCACCTCTACGACGCAGAACCAGAGTCCCAGCGCGGGGACATCGTCGCCGACGCGAAGCTGCTCGACGACAAGAGTCCCGGTGTCAAGCGGGTCGAGGCCATCGTCTCCTGCTTCACCACGTTCGACCTCGTCGTCCTCTTCCTCGGTATCTTCCTCATCGCCTATGCATACGGCCTCGGTACGTACACACCCACCCACCGCCACTCCGCTCACGCGACCGCGCAGACGGGCAGACTCGCTCCGTCTACCAGACCTACGCGACAAACTCGTACTCGACGCACTCCCTCCTCTCCACCCTCAATGTCGTCAAGGCCGTCATTGCCGCCGCCGCCCAGCCACCCATGTCCAAGGTCGCTGACATTTTTGGCCGCCTCGAGCTCATCACGTTTTCCGTCCTCTTCTACGTCCTCGGGACGATCATAGAGGCCGCCTCTGACAACGTTCAGACCTACGCCGGCGGCCAGGTGCGTTCGGCTTATCTCCAGTCATATTGCGCCTTTCTCACAGTTGCTCTGCGCACCAGGTGCTCTACCAGATCGGCTTGACCGGGATCCAGTTGCTCGTCGAAGTCCTCATCGCGGATGTGACCTCCCTCCGCAACCGTGTCTTCTTCTCTTACATCCCCGCGAGTCCGTTCATCATCAACACCTGGATATCCGGTAATGTCACGTCGGCCGTCATCGCAAATTCTACCTGGCAATGGGGTGAGTTTGCTGCCATTCCAACCCTACCTCTCACTTAACTGTATACCAGGTGTGGGCATGTGGACCATCATCGTCCCCGCCACCTCCATCCCGATCATCCTCTCCCTCTATCTCGGTCAGCGCCGCGCGCGCCGCGCCGGCAAGCTCTCGCGCATCCTCCCCACGACACCCTCCTCGCGCTTGCAGACCCTCGCCGCGCTCTTCCACACGCTCGACGCGCCGGGCACGCTCCTCCTCGCCTTGCTGCTCTCGCTCATCCTCATCCCGCTCACCATCGCGGGCGGCACGTCCTCGCGCTGGGCGCACGCGGACGTCATCGCGATGCTCGCCGTCGGCTTCGCGCTCATCCCCGCGTTCGTCGTGTGGGAGCTCAAATACGCCAAGCACCCCATCGTGCCGTTCCACCTGCTCAAAGACCGCAGCATCCTCGCGGGCCTGTGGGTCGCGCTGAGCCTGAACCTGTGCTGGTACCTCCAGGGCGCGTACCTCTACACGCTCCTCCTCGTCTCCTTCGACGCGAGCGTCAGCACCGCCACGCGCGTCACGTCGCTCTACTCCTTCTGCTCCGTCGTCGCGGGCATCGCGCTCGGCGGCGTCTTCCGCGTCGTGCGCTACATCAAGTGGTTCGCGGTCGCGGGCACGCTGCTCTTCATCATGGCGCTCGGCCTGATGGTGCGCTACCGCGACGGGAGCCACGGCGGGCTCGCGGGCCTCATCGGCGCGCAGGTGACGCTCGGCATCGCGGGCGGGTTCTTCCCGTACCCCGTGCAGGCGCTCGTGCAGGCGGCGACGAAGCACGAGCACGTCGCGGTGATCACCGCGCTGTACCTCACGATGTACCAGATCGGCAGCGCCTTCGGGAGTAAGCCATCCCCCCCATCCTGCCCGCGCTCTCACTCACTCACTCACTCACCCCCCCCTCCTCACGCAGACACCATCTCCGGCGCGATCTGGTCGAACACGCTGCCCGGCAAGCTCGCGACGTACCTCGCGCCGATCAACGGCACGCTCGCGGCCGCGGCGTACGACGCGCCGCTGACGTTCATCCTGGCGTACCCGGTGGGCACGCCCGAGCGCGGCGCGGTCGTGCGCGCGTACAACGAGACGCAGCGCTATCTCGCGGTGACGGGCGTGTGCCTCGCGGTGCCGCTCTTCGTCGCGGCGCTGTGCCTGCGCAACCCGCGCCTCGGCGATCTGCAGGCGCTGCCCGAGGCGGAGCGCGCGGGGGCGAAAGGTGAGTGGTGTGCGCGTCGGATGTGGATGTGGATGGGTGCTGATGGTGGATTGTAGGGAAGACGCAGGATGTTAACGTCCAGGAGCAGAGCGTGCACGATCCGGACGCGAAGGTTCCTGAAAACTCTTGATTTATTCGTATTTTCTTGGTTTTAGGTGGTGGGTATGGGTATAGGTGGGAGGAGATAAAAAATCTAGAGTTACTAGAGCTTCCGCCCGTGCGGATTAATCCCTGTTGTTGTTGTTGTTGTTTTATTTTCATGAGATTGACGAAATCTAATGTCCTTGCTTCTCGGTGCCTGGTATCGAGGGCTCGAGCGATATGTCGCGTGTTGACCTTGAGAGCGTGGATGGACCAGGATCGTGCTGGGCTGATTGTGGCCGAGGATTATCTGATAAATTGGCTGATGCTCAGTGTTTCTGTTGGCGGTCGATCATGATCAGGGACACTATGTAGGGGTGGCGCGCCATCTTATCAGATACTCAACGAGCTCAAGAACCTGTCAAGTGCTTGTCGATCACTGTGTTGCGACTCCGAAGTTGAGACTTTAGTGTGTATGTGCTGCTTCGACCTTTCACTAAGTAGTGGACATTCGCGGGTAATGGAAATACCATGGCATCAGTACATTTTACACCTACACATCCCACTGTGCTAGTGATTCATGAATGGGGTCAAGTACTCGACACGAGGACCTGGGACCTTCACGCATCTCTTACGAGAGTTTACGATGTGATACACCTATGACAGGGCGGGCCTCAAGAGGGTGTACATGTCAGCTTACAGAATATCGCCACCGGTATGCCAAGTAGGGAAATTAACGACCCCAAACAGGTCTCCCTGATGCTGGAAACGGCTGGTTATTTTGTTACCAGTGGACACACGGGTACATGGAATATATATCCTATCCATAAGACATCTGTAGAACCAGTAGCCGGCAGACCTTCTTGCACAAGTTGCACGACTGACTCGGAGATTATTGGTTCCCGGTTCAAGGTTCAGACGCCCCCGGGAAATGCCGAATGTGTCACTGCATATGCATCACTCTCTTGTCTTCAACCAGCTTCGACCATGCAGCCTTTTTTGAAGTACTCTGCATTGATTCCACGTCCGGGTACCTGGTGTACCATTGCCATGAAAATACGGCGTGCCAGTGCGAAACTGACGCGTTCCAGATCCCACCAACTTGCGCAAATCCGCTTGGCTTGTCATGGAATGCGTCGATGCTAACGAGTGGCACAAATTTAGGAAAGAAGAGAGACTCATGCCCATACTTTAGCTGAAGGGCTGCTTTGACCAAATATGCACTCTTGAACCTCCTGAACCCGGCGGGCCTTGCATTGACAACGAGCGAGCCGTGGGGCCCATTTGACACAGCCGAGGTTTGCACCGTTTTTGCGACCAAGACTATGAACGCGAGAATCGATTGGATTAATCTGAACCTCTTGCGAAGACTTCTGCGCGCGAATACTGGACTGCGTATACCATGGAGAGCCCGGGCCTCATAACATTCTCTGGAAGGACGGTCGCTCGCTGCCATCGACCGGGAAATGACAGATTGGCTTCCCGAATACTGGGAGGATACCCAAAGCTACTTTGGGAGCCTGAACTCGCCCAGCTGATGGGAGATGTACGAGCGGGTCATGATACCTCAACCTGTTTCCCCTCAGAACCATCTCTGTTCGAGCCGCAGGGCTCTATTCTTTGTATCCGGCGGCGCCATTCTCGGCGCAGTGCAATAACAAGTCATTGGCATCTGTTCCTCACGATACCGACGGCGGTTGCTCTCTATGTTTTTTTTTCTGTTCTTAGTTCGGCCTTACTGATTCTGGCTCATCTAAGACAATAACCCAGTGACGCTCGGGCGTCTACCCCTAAACAGATCCCAAGGATTCATTAGTTAAACAGTCTTCATCTTTCAGGATACGGGTCCTTCCTTAGCCTGACCGAAGTCTTCGGTCGTAGTACCGAGCAACTTGGCTATGTATCTGCTAACGAGATACATACGCCTGGAAAAAGATTCGTTTCAGGCATGAATCGGTTCTATTGTGTTGTTTGATGTCTTGTCAAGGCTTCTACAACTACTCAGTGCATAGCTACGAGTATGAAGCTAGCTTTATTCCAAGAAAGGTATTGTTGTCATGATTCAGTGCAGAGGTTTTGATGGATTCTAAGGCTAGAACCATCTCTCACTCGCGTTATTCGCCTCTATTACAAGATTCAGTATGTTTCACCTCTGCTGCTCCCGTTCGCTCATGTGGTGCTCTTGTGCAGGAGTACAAGGCGTGAGACTGTGGGTCCCCTGCGTGCTCGGATATAAACAAAGCCTGCTGAACCGTAAACGTTATCTCTTTCGTTCCTTTCATCCTCTCCCCGCCTGAGTACACCCAATTGTCAGTCCATTTGCCGGAGTAAACATGACCTACTTCCACCGTGGTCACACTATTTCCGGTATGTCGCCCCCTTGTGTTTGCGCCACATGAGCTCACATCGGCACCCCTATCTCCCACAGCCGGCGGAGAACATCCATTGAGTAACTCCTCCTCAGACCCGGCTGGTTCTACCCTCCTGGAAGGACTCGTCGCTGCCACTAGGGCGCTGGACGCCATTAATGTCGTCCCGCTCGATCGCGTCACGCTATCGAAGGATCGTGCGCGCCTACAGGGTCGCGTTCAATGCTGCAAATCTCTGTCGGCTGAACAGGGAGGAAGTCTCGGGCTGCCCTCAGAAACTTTGTCCGAGATTTTCGTTCACTGCCTTCCTGAAGACCTTGAAATTGCCAATGTTCGTGAAGCACCTTTGGTTCTAACTCGAGTGTGCCGTTACTGGAGGGAAGTGGCGTTGGCGACTCCCTTCTTATGGAGTGGCTTGGGAATACCAAGCAAGTCCCATGGCGCGAAGCATATGGAGTCTATGGAAAAGTGGCTTTCCCGAGCGGGAGTCCTTCCACTTCACTTGGCATGGCGGGAATCCCTCACCCTCTGGGATAGGATCACGGTCAATACAGTGGGCCCAGAACTGATAAAGAGATACATTGAACATTGCAAAGTTCTCGACTTGGGCCTTGTGCAAGGTGACTTCGCCCGCTATTTCATTGCCGATGAACTGCCGCTGCTGGAAAAGCTCTGTCTGGTCCACTACAAGAAACGACCCTGTACCTGCGCAGGCGAACAACATACTACGAGGCTTCCACGGCTGAAAGATCTCGTTTACTTCTGGTCACACCCTAATCAATATGATTTTCTCGTTTTGCCTTGGGCGCAGCTGGCCAGTCTGCATATTGGCATTCGAGGGCCACATTGCGTCCCTCACGTTCCTCAGGTTATTGCGCAGTGTCGACAGCTGGAAGCCCTCAAGCTTGACATCCTAAACGACTACCAGGACAAAGTAGAACTCACTTGGCCCTCTGGAATACGTCCCTTTCCGCTTCCGAAGCTCAGACTCCTGACGATAAGCTCGGAGGCATCACTCCCGCGGAGCGGATCTGTTCTATCTCGCCTAGTCCATAACCTCATTCTTCCTGAACTCGAAGTCCTCGCCTTGACTGAAGCGTGGGGTTCATCGGATCTTTGGACGAAACTGCTCGCCCGCTCGCGCTGTCCCCTACGGGAGTTGAACGTCACTACTTCATCTGATTTCCTTCCTCAGCCGCAAGATTTAATGCAGTTGCTCAAGGTGGCTAAGTCCTTACAGGACGTAAGTATCTGCGCCGCTTCGTATACTTTCAGTGCTGGTGCAATGCACCTTGTCGACTGCCTCTTGAACGGGACATGCTCAAGTGATCCCTCCCTCTCCATGTCAGAGCTGCAAGCACTCCGGTTGCAGATCAATTGTTCGACTATGGAGGACTACAACCTCTTTGCGCAGACCCTACAACCTATGCTAGCTTCCCCCACTGTATGCAGCGGGAATCGCGGAAGGGATCGTCTTCGGGACGGATCTGTATATCTTTGCTGTACCGCAGAGGAGGAGACCACGGAGCTGCACTGGCCCATTCAAATAGGGAAGAAAAGACATTGCCAGGAGCATTCTGAAGCCATCAACGACCTCGTTTCGGTTGAGTGAGAAATGACGAGGGTGCTTCGGTAGTACGGGTTTACTCGGAAATGTGCTCAGCAGACTGCCTGCAATCCATGTTGTATTATATGAAGTGTATGATCATTAATTTCATTCTGGACTTTCTTTGACGAGCTTAAGCTAGTCGCATTTAGCTGATTGCCAGCCTCAGCACTCGCTTCTTGTTGCTGTTGCTCTCCTGCCTTCGAGTACCGTATGCCTAGGTTGTGGGTCTCCCGCTTACCTTTGTGAGATTGGTTCCAGCCCTGTATGTGTCATGCTGAAGTGCGCCAAGTGGACCACTGGAGGATGCAAGGCTGATATCAAGATTAGGCTTTAAGTATGAAGTCGAGTTCTTGCGCAGATCGGACGTTCGTCACATTATGCACGACGCAAGACGACAATTGCGCTGATGCTTATTCGCTCTGACGGATCTACGCCGGAAAACCTAGTTTCTCCAGATATCAGAGCTGCGGATTCAGAGTAAAGCATGTCCTCGCGACGGATGTGGCATAAGATATTACCTCGGTGGTCCAGGAGGATAAGTATCCGTCCCGAAAGTTCCTGGAAATATTAGGACTGCACGGACCATGAGTATGGAATATGGCTGGTCCATGTGTCGCTCCTCATGACCCCAGTCCGCCGCCGCCGCACAGAGGCACAGGTGTGATACTGCGTCAGCTGTAACAGTTCTGGGGACCAGCGATATTCAGCAGTTATCCATAGCGGATGTGAGCGAGGCCACGATCCCACGCGCCACCCCTACGTCGGTGTTGCCTACGAGGAAGTTAGAGTCTGAGTCTTCGCGGACTTTGAGTGCTATGGAGAATCTCAGCTCCGGTGCAGCCTTCCAGCTTCCTGCATAGGAACTATACCCCTCATGGTCATATTGAAGTCGGGTGACGCTCGGACGATGTACATCGGGACCTTTCGCTCAGGCACCTACGAGGGAGATCCACTCCAGCTAGATTTCGTACACGCCCCGCCTTCATGTTCTCCTGCTGCATTCCACGCAATCAGATAACGGGGGTAATTCTTCGGTTTCTGAATACCGTGAGCCCTAGCAAGAGAAGCGTCCTCGCACCAGGCACTGAGGAATACAACGTATCAGATTAGATACTTTTGTCCTCCGTTATGCCTTTACAGGACTCGGAGCCGACAGCCTCTTGATTCACTGAATGTGGCCTGTGTCAGCCAGAGGCTCGATCATGTCTGAATGACGCGAATGTTAGGCGCGATGCCAGGAAAGATAATCCGTAACTAGGCTAGTGCTCAAGCTGTCGACGAAAGTAAGAGCTGCTTGTGGGAAAGCCCCCGCCACCGTCTTGGTACTGCTGTGCGCCTGAGCCATACTCAACAACCGCCCAGACCCCTCCCACGAGGCGCAGCTGCCAGCGTCGTGGATCCCGTGCTGTAGGGCCATGTTCGATTCCTATGGGGTATCTGAGAGGAAATTCAATTCCGCAGGCGTCCCAGTAAGAGACCGCCATCTCCAGGTCCTCGAATTGGCCCGGTGCCTGAAGAAACAACATTCAGGAAGCCTGAGCGTCCGACTCTAGGCCACTTTATTGGACGGGGAATCACGTACCTAATATGGAGTAATCTTTATCATAGGTATATCTCCATGCTCAGCGGGGATCGATACGCTCGTCCATAGTGCGCATCAAACATTGGGGCAGTGCAAGAGCTGGCGTAGTCGGTGAGAGCGAAGCACTCCATACACAGTTTACAGGGACAAGCGCCGCTTTCCTTTCTCCGACCTGTAGTACGTGATCCCGAACTATCTCACACATGGGCAGCATCAAACCTTGAACGTTGTTCAGTGCTTACCACTTGGCTGCGCCTCCACTATAGCGTCGCAATGCCAGACACGAGCACTCCGGGGGACGATGCAGCTCCAGATTGTCCTTGGCGCATGGTAGTAAACCCGCATTTTTCATTGAAGTCAGATCCACAGTATCCACAGACGTCGGATATCGAGCATCGGACCATCGTGGGACGCTGGATACCACCACACCGCATTCCCTGACTGTGAGAGTATACCGCCACAGGATACGAAGGCCAAGCTCATGAATGCAATGGCGAGAGTCGAGCACTCGCGCAACACTGAATTCATTGAGCGATGAACCTTGCTATTCTGGGCCGCTAACTGCCAGTCGCACAGTGGAGCTTTCTCAGAGTCCGATTTATTGGCAGCGGCGCAGCGCACAGTTACTCTGGGTTCGGCTGGGCTAGGATTTGTGTCGTCAACGACGTCGAGGTACAGCAAGACGGAGAACCTGGTTGGAAGAACCGCACTTGCCGCATATGCGCTATCCAGACATGTGAGGGCCGATATGAGGCTACATGACAGCCGCGGACCTTCTCCAAGACGCCACCGGCCTTCTTGGCGGCCTACATAGAAAGGGCACGGAGTAGCCAACGAGGTGAGAAAACCCCGAGATCCCATGACTAGCCCCCTGAATGAGGACCTCCTCTGTTGAAGATACCTTTCGTAGGCATTTCGGCCAAGCATAATCGTCAGGGAGCCCGATGATGCCGGAGAAGTGGATGGTGAGGCAACAAAAAGCGATCGGAAAAGCACAAACACCACCGAGTCAGTTGATGGTCCCAGGAGAACGAGTATAGTATAATACGGAAGACGGGCGGAACAGTAGGCTGGAGAGACCTGCTCAAGTGCGGGTCAATAGATGTGGTTTCCTTTTTTTCAATGTATCGGGAGTGCCTATAGACGCAGCAAGTGATAGAAGTATGAACTTCTGCCGGTGAACTTGAAGACATTTATATGCTTGATCCGGGTACGGGTAATACTGGACGACGTTGAACCCCTGACGCAGAGCTGAACGCCCGTCGAATAGGCCAAAATGATGCGCTTGTATACTTCTCTAGTGATGACGAGGTGTAAAGGAGGTGTAGGTGAAGCTTTGAAGTCTCGAAAGTAGTCTAGTAGTCCAAGTTTCAACCCCGCATTATTGGCTTACGTAAGTCCTATGCAAGTCGCCGTTCCATTATAGCAAGGCGCGTACAACGACGACGGCGACTGACAGCTCAGTGCTACAGGATAGCAAGCTACGACTACGATGACGATCAAGCATTTTGACAGTAAGTCCGTACCTGCTTAGTGGAGGTCGCTCATTTGGTACAAACGCGCAAAGTCGTTGACCGCTCGAAACTGTGAACATCCATCGCAGGCTACCTCCATGAGCGCAAGCACTACCACTCTTTTCCTCTGTCGGTTCTGTCGGACTCGCGTCTAGGCATAGATGCCTCCAACTATCTCCAGAATCTTATGGAGAACCCGCCCACACGGGAGCCTCTTATTGCTGCGACTGGTGGCCTCCCGCTTGCTCTGACAACACGTGTAGAGGCGGACTTGCGCGTTTTGGAAAAATACCGAATCAAACCTGTATTTGTTTTCCCTGGACTTCTGCCAAACAGACGTGGAAGGTATCATCAACTACACACCGAAGCAAATGCTGCATGTCGGGAGAGGCAGGAAGCTTGGGCCAAGTACGAAGCCGGCCAGGAAGATGCCGCGACTAAACTCTTCGAATCCCGAAACCCCCTTCACCAGTGGGATATATGGCGGATGGTTCTGAGGATTTTCAAGCATAGAAATGTGGAATTTATGGTTGCTCCCTATGTCTCTTGGGCCCAGGTATGCATGTCGGGATATACGGCACTTTTATCCTCTGACCCCGAGAGCCATACAGCTCATCTATCTCCAACGTCACCCCAAGTCCTACATCCATGCGATCTATGGACCTACGGATACATTGCTCTACCCTGGCGTGGATAAGCTCATCACCTCCCTGGACCTGACGTCGTCAAACCCTTCGTTCACCTACGTATCCAAGCGCAATATCTTGTCCGACCTAGGCCTGACTGAGGACCAGTTCTTGGACGTCGGCCTTCTTGTCGGCTGCGAATACTCCGCACCATTCCCTCCCACCACGCACGAGCAGGCCCTCAAGGCCACCGTGGACATGCTCAAGTATTACAAGTCGGGTCACGCGTGCGTCTCCGCATTCGCGGAACAGCCCAATGTAAAATCGTCACAGTATCAGGACAACTTTGCTCGCACGCGGTCGATGATCAAGTACTCCCTGATACTCTCGTCTGAAGGAACGGTCATGCCGCTCCCTCTCGCGACTAGCACCTCCGCGGCCCAGAACCACGGAAACCATCACCCGCATCACCCAACTGCCGCCGATATTCCATCTGACTTACACGAGATATTCACCCACAGACTGCCTGACGAAATCTATTTCTATCTGTCTCGTGGGCTCATGGGGCCTCAGGCTCTGGTGTGGCTGACCACCGGGCAGATTATCGAGAGCCCTCCCCTTGACACGGGTGAGACGACGGAATACAAACGGTTCGTAAAGGAAGTTATTACCGATGGCCAGACTGGGCCTCGAGCGACCTCTCTGGCATTGATCAGCAGCGTTGCCCATAATTTCTGGTCGAACCGGCGTGTTACTCCCCATTTCTGGTTCGAGCCGAATGTTCCGCAGAACCAGCAAAAGTACATCCAGCACAACTCGCAACAAACAGCGCAGTTGGCGGAAAGGGTTGCGGGGTGGAACGTCCCTTACCTGATTGTGGAAGAGGAGTTGCGGAGGCAGAACGTGAGTTGACCTCCTGACTTGATATCTGTTCTTGGCACTGATATATCGTCGAAGTCTTCCACGATTGACTTTGCGCTATGTTTGGGCGCGACAGCCTCTGAGAAACTGGCCACCCGGACTAGAGTCAAAAGCGGTGCCAATTCTGCCCAGCTGGACAAGAAGGACGAGATAGTGGCGAATGTCATTTGGCGATTCTTGGAGTTGCGAGGGTGCGTTCTCTTTCACACTCTAGCGCGGTATCAAAGTCTCAACTTTGTTGATTGCAATCACCTGCCTTTCGGAACTGAGAAGATTCCTACTGAATACCCATGCGCACTCTCCGTTGGCTCGAGCGATGTATACAGCTCTGAGACACGCGCGTGTCAACGACAAATTCCAGGATCCACTGTATCTGTTCCTGGAACTGGTCCGGGCGGGCGTCATGCATGGTAATCTGTGGTCGGGACGGGCGTTTAGTGGTGGACCCAGTTTCGGTACCGGTGGGTCCATCTTCTCACGTTTCCAATAGCGATGATGGTGCTCACTCGGCCGTGGCGTGCGTGTTCGTGGCCCAAAGATGATGAGAAATCTTGCATGCTCTTGGTTATGCGAGTGCTTAGCATCGTTCCGTTGAACTTTAAGGTGAGATAACTCTATTCCATCCGGCGTCGAAGCTGTGTGCCCCATCAAGGGCGTGATGTGCTCACCACCATCTGCTCGTTGCAGGCGCAACCATGGTCGGCTCCGCTGTCACGAGAACTGCTGGTGTTCAACTCGTTTGTCCGTTCGCTCACACGGGCACTCCGGACCTTACTAGAGGTTACGTCGCTGAACATGCTTCTCCGCCATGATGCCCGGCGCGCAAGGGACGACCTTCTGGATATTACTCTTTCGCTTCCTTTCCAGTCGGAGGTGAACACCGGGTTCGGTATCCTGGCGAAGGTATACTTGGACGCGCTCACACATATAAACAACCGCACACGGGTGCGGGATCCCAATGCGGAGGGTGTGAGAGAGGCCAAACAAATGGCGCTCGAAATATGCGAAGAGACGTTCCCCGGGGTGAAGGATCCGAAGGGCGAGGTCGAGCGGGGCTTCCGGTTCTGGGACGTGGTGAGTTGGAGCACTGCTGTGAAGCTGATTCGGATGGGCTCGTGGCTAATAATACGCTGCCTTCTCCTTTGTAGACGCTGACGGCCATGAGGCAGCTTCATTCTGAGGGCGCGGTCATCCGCGACCTGATTGACCAGTTCGAGGCGGCCGAAGCGTGGCTGGCACCCATGAGACCGTAGAAGACGGCGGGGTTCATTTGGGTGGACTTGAGCCGAACTGGTCGGTGTTATGTGGCGACGTGGTTCTCTCAAAATTCCAAGGGGTTGTCAGTTTCGCTCTTGCATATTCCCATCGCTGAACGTGGCAGGCCGCGGCTGCACGCCGGGGGGAGTAATGTCATACGTACTCGCGCTTGGTATAGCTTGGAATTGTATCACGTCTCGTATTTTTGGCAACGCGAACGTGTTGTGACGGGGAAGGAAAAACGATGAGAACACGAGCGGGAAAGGACAGAGACTGGTGGGAACGCGAGGATGGGCACTGCCTAATCGGGCCAGCGCCGGAATCAGGTGAAAGGCGAGGGCGGAATCTCCGATGCGACGAGAACGTCAGATTTGATCTGCCCAGCTTCAGATTTCCTGCGGATCTGAGCCACCGAGTCCTTTCATCCACTCCTGCCTATAAGAATGCATGCTCTAAGCGTGGCCGCTGCCTGCTCCCCATCGACACTCCCCGCCCGCCATGCTCGACGACGTCCTCCTCGACCAGCTCATGACCCACGACCCCCGCAAGCACGCCCACAACGACGGCCACGTCTACCTCCGCCAGCCCTACACCGTCGAGATCATCCAGCTCGAGGAGGTCACGCCGCCGTCGCCACATTCCATACCGTCCAGCTCAGCGTCCCCCGCATCGTCGTCGTCGTCTTCCTACTACGACGACGAGTCCGACGAAGAAGAGGACTCTGACTGCACCTCGTACTGCTCCTCCGACTACTCGATGCAGGACGAACCGCGCACAAAGGACGCCGCGTACGCAGAGGACACGTACTCGGCCAGAATGAGCCGCATCCACGCATGGCGAGAGAGTTTCTCAAAGGAAGTGGGCGCACTGGCTCCCGGTACGTCAACCGCGCTATCTCGCTCCCGGAACACGAGCCCTGACTGCGCTCCCAGGCGCTGTACCTATGGCATCGTCACCTCCAGTTTCACGCAGAGAGGATCGAGACGCAGACGGCGATCTAGCGGTGAGTCCCAAATAGCATGGCCCCTTCCTGAAATGTGTATTCATCGCCGCACCATTCAATAGACGTCTTGCTCGGAAGCGGAAGAGGACGCGGGATCCCAGCGGGTGTACGCGGCGGCGGGTGTCCCGCAGAGCTCGCGGCTGTCGACGCTGAGCCTGCACTCCTGCCCGGCATGTGATGCGTCGTTTGACACATCGCAGAGCCTGCGCCGCCATGGCCGCGGGCCCCTCGCCGGTGAAGCCTGCCGCGTAGCGGTAGAATACGATTTCGAGTGATCCGCCTTTCCTCGCAAGGAACCTGAACACACACGATCTGCACGAGCATCCATACGCTCCCCGACCCATCGCATTAACCTTATCGTATCTGATATCCTGCATCATCCCTACACCCGCCTTGGCTCTTCGCAATGCACGCTTGTATCGTACATAGTATCGCCCTTCTATTACAAGCTTATTATGTATTAATTATCCTACCGGCTCTTCCTACTGCTCGGCGTGGGTTTCACGCCCCTGTTCATACATGTACAGTAGCAGCACATAACGCATACGCACTGTAATAACACCACGCGCATTGGCTTGTCTGTCGAGAGAACGCTGCGAAGCGGTCTTACACGGAGATGATACCCCACTGAGCGCGAGCTTGTGCCCTAACGAGCATGGTCAGCGGGCCAGGGCAAGACATCATCACCGCGGTGCAGTACCTTAGCTGATGATGTCTCGGCATGCGTTTTCGAACGGAGGGTACACCACGCTAGCCATATTCACACCAACGTTTGGCCCTCCGTCGCAGCGAGGCGCCCGGGGCCGTGAGAGCCTGTCGCCGAAAAATGGGATGGGCCACTGGACGGGAGGGGTGGGCAGCGTATGCTCCGGATGTACAGCTACAAAGCCCGACGACCGTATTCCGTGTTTTGACTTGGGCCGGGACGTTTGATCTCTCTGGGCCTGAGCTAGGTAGCGCTGGGCACTGGCAGGATCAAGTTAGGCTGGGAGCAAGCGTTTTGAGTTTGGCATGGCCAGGCGCCCACGTTCCCATGCATGGCGTCGTACTCTACGTGGCGGCCGTTTCAAGCTGACACTGCGCCCCGATATCGATTCAGGACAGTCGGGAGGCGCAGCGCTCTACTCAGGAGCCGTTCCACGGTGCACCGCGACGGTGGCGTTATCTGATAATCACATAAATGATGTCTCTGAATCCTCCTGCCCAATAAATGTCTCACACGCACGCTCGGAACACACCTTCCGTATTGTCCCCAGAGATCATCCGATCCGCCAGGCTGTACCGACCCTGGTGGTACACGATCGGGCCCATTTCCTCAATTATCCCTTTCTTCCTCAAAGGACGCCCACAGCGCTCGGCAGGCCAGGGGCGGGCGGCACGCCTTGTTCTGTCTGTGTTCTCCTTCCACGCTCACGCTGGGAACTTCATCGGATTTCGTCATTATTAGTTTAGAATACACCCCGGCCTTGAATCCCAAGAAGCCTTCCACGAAGATCAAGGACATCAGGTAATCCTGCCAGTGGGAGCCTCGGGCCAAAGGTAAAAATACGAAATCCTCCGTATAGTTATACGACGTTGGTGGAGCTCCCGCACACGATGCTACGTGGGTCTTCCTGATCGCCGGCTGGTGGGACTCTCAGTTGTTCACATCGATGGCAGCGGTCAACACATCCAAAGCGGCCAGCTGTCCCCACGTCGTGAACGATTGTGGAGGGCCCGTCCAGCTCGAAGAGTATGAGTCACCGTTCGCGGCGAGTTCGAGAAGGGCGTTGTACTAAAAACGCAACGCAAGGAAGGTCAACAATACGATCTCGTCCGTAAAAATACGACACGCCGCGGTAGACGTGCTAGAAATACTACGTACTTGAACATCGATATAGGCCCTGATCAAGTTGCGGAGATCCGTGTTCGATGCGCTTCGAGTCCACGCTTCGTGCAACCCACGGATGAACACCGCTATCGGTCCGACATGCGACCAGTGCAAAAATGCGTGAAGGTAGACGTTCAACGATCATTGATCTGCGTTAATTATGGACGGACTTCGGAAGGACTTCACTCACCCTTGAATCCGACGCCGTCATTGTTGCTGTCCGGGCTTGCGCCCTCGGTGATGACGCCGTTACTTCCTTGCCATGCACTCGTGTGCGTAGCAGCAGCGATGATATTGACCGCCCTAAGGAATGAAGGTCCGAGCATAATGCTCAGCGTTCATCCCCATTCACATGAAGACAAGGCGATCTCACAGGTCCCTCCAAGATGAATCACCGGTGACGTCGGCCAGTACGCTCAACCCCTCGATATATTTGCCGCTGTTGTACGTGAAGAGCCACGAAGAGGGCGACGTCCTAGTACAGCGTGAGCGCGTTCACAAGCGCGCAGCAATATCGGTGTATCTTACGAGCAGTCGTGGCCGTTGACGGTGTCGAGAACGATGTTATCAGAGTTGATGTTGTGCGAGCGGATCCAGGTCGCCGCGGCCGAGGCGGCATTCGCGTACTTGCTGTCGCCCGTGGCATCCGCGAGATAGGCTCCCAGGCTATATATGGCGGGATCGTCAGGGCGCAAGCTGTGTCTCTTACTCCGGCGACATACGTCAAGAATAACCTGGAAATCGCATCCACGTCAGTCCCTCTGGCATGTCTCGGTGAAAACACAACATGACATTACCCTGTTGTAATGGAGTTGATGCCCTGGTCGTCCGAGGTGGGTCGCTGCAGATGCGGGAGGTCAAATTGCTGTCTTCGCATGTGAACTGGTCCTGCAGCCTTACCCAAAATACACCGCCTGACATGGTCGCTGGATAGATGAAAAGGATCGCATTCTCGTCAGTTCTCACTTGTTCGTTGATCCGACATTAAGACTGCGGACCTCCGTTGCACGAGCCCTCGATGCTGAAGCTCTTACCAGGGATGCTGCCGCTGGAAGCCTCGGCATCCGTGATCTGGCTATTTCCCACATCGTCGGTGTCTCAGTTTCCCAAGCTTAAGGGAAACTTGTTCGATATAGCTCACAATACTGAGACGTGGTTCCACGTATCAATAGCATGTTGCAACAGATTGGTGTCTCCGTAAGCCCTGTACGCGTAGTACGCGGCTGTGGCCCACCACCTGGAGTGGGAAGGTCAGCGCGTGTAGGGAGAATCGAGGAAAAGTACGCACAGTGCGTCGTCGTTGTACTTCATAGAAAGAGAGCATCACTTGATAAGGATATATGAACTCTCATCTACAACAACGAACATACCCTGACATGCCCAATTTTAGCGGTCTGTCGAGGCAAGTCTAGGTAGAGCCCTCACTGATATTGGTCATAATTCGCGAACAGACTCCAGCCAGTGTTCAGAGCGTTCACAACATTGTTTTTGTTGGTCGTGGTACTCGTGATATGATCCTGGTTCGCTAAAACGGACCATACGTTCCCAGACTGCCACCAACCGATACCTACATTTCGCGAAGACATAGAGCATCACCGAAGTTAACGAATGTATTAATCTTCGCTGCGAGCTGACTAACCATTGAACTGGGCATCGGAGGAGTCAAGCTGGCCCAAAATGACGTTGATGGCATTCTGCGCGATGGTAACGCGGTCCGACGAAGAACGACTATTTGTAGGCTCCTGCATCGCGTTGAGTTAAAACATCGTCTGAAGCACTGACGATCGCACGCACTCTCCAAGACGAGGGAACACTCAAGTCTTGGGCCAATGAAAGCCCGCAGAGGCCTAGGAAGAAGAGAGAACGACGGAGCATCACCATCGTACAGCAGCTGGAGTGCGAAAGCGCAAGAGGCTCGATGAACGGTCAAGTGCTTTTATGAACGTAGTTAATGCCAGCGCATGTGCTTGCGCATCCATCTCCCAACAACGATCATCATGCATCAAACGCAGCACTGGGAAGCAGGGATGACGACCCCAGTTGAAATCAGAAGCACCAAGAAACTGAGCTGACCCTTGAAGCAGGTGGTCGAGCTGTGCGGGCATCCCATAGAAGGGCTATTGCGCACGCCATAGGACATAGCAGTTACAAGCATGCCGAAGACCTTGCCGACCACCAGCGTAACAGACGGATGACGAGTGATCATGGGACACTCCCGCCGCTCAATGACTGGTGTGGAAGCTACTAGTCATCCTCTGTAACACGCACGGAATCCAGCCAGCATGTGATCCAGACTCTAATTCTTCGAGATGGGCCATACGACGCGAAGACGGATAAGCTTTGCAGAGTCGCCGAAGTACGCGACGTTCTGCAACGTTCGCCTATACAGCTCGCTTCTCTGAGCTGTTATGGAAACTCGTCGGTGCCAATTGCAAGTCAGGACCGCATGACTCTGCGTATTTGTGGCATCGTAGGGTATGCAGTATGCACGAGCCGCTTTGAGGCGCAAGGCCGAACAAGAATGGTGGGACGGAGAACCTGGCGGCCTCATCGATATCATGAACGCAGTGAGGATGATTGATGCTTGCAGTGGGGAGGCGCAACGCCCGGTTCCGGTGCGAGTTGATTTGTCAGCAGATTGTGGCTGAAAGGTGGTCGCAAGTATCCCCTCGTATTCTTGTGCATTCCTCTGCTCCATTCTCACCTTATGCATGCATCAGCAATGTATATCACTATTGTAAACCAGAAAGAAGGGTATTCTACCATTACAGACTGTAGTAGACATAAACATGTCTGTCTCTTCTTATTCCTGAGCTGACCACCATCGGGATGAAATGATGGTCAATTTCACCGAGGTCGGCAAAGGAGTGCTTAGGGAAGTTATGTATTGTCTTTAGAAACACTTGGAACATATCTATGTGCACACCAGTGGTTGTATTCCCTATCCTTGATATAGATGAGCTTGATTTCCAGGAAGCACAAATCTGTGTAATTAATGGACAAAGCAAGTACTGGATCACAGCTGTAAAAGGCTGAATATATATCTCATGTACTATGTTGATTTTACAGTTCTAACATAGGGGAAGGGACCTGCTTCTGCTGCGGCAGGAGAGCCCGGACAGTGACCAGGATATTTGGTGTGACACTTTTTGCGATGGTGTCACAGCTTGTCACGTCCGCGACGCGTTCGGACGCGTCGTTAATTGCTCTTTACTGCCAGAAAACCTACAGCGTGCTACGTTCACATTCACGCGTCACTTGATTCATAAAAGTTAATCTATATCAACGAGCGGATGCAACGTTGGTTGTACATTTTTGTTAAATGTACTTGCGGTCTCGTTACCTCTATCGAATGAACTTGATATTGGGAAAATCAGAAATTCAAAACCAACGTTGCATCTTCTGTATCATGACATCCCTGCTGGTACATTTTATATGCGT